TGCTGTGAAACTGTATTTCTATTGCTATTTGATGGGATGAAAGCAGACACCTCTGAAGCATCCTTAGTGTTTTACACATTTTATACATTGAATTAAAGTTATATTCACCTATAAATGGTACATGTAATCATGTAGTTTGTTCCAATCATTAGTAGTCTTTGAAAGTTCTCTGCAAGCTTAGGGTTTTTTTTAGCTAACTTCATTGAAGTAAAATGCTTTAAGTATTTAAGTATTTTCAAAGGAGTAACTGATCACACAGCAAGGAAACTGCTGCCAGCCCAAGGTTGTTTGGGGGTTGTGAATGTGGATACTAATTGCTGTAGGTTCAATGAGAACACAACACACAATAAAACTGCATATCACAACTGAAAATAAAGTTATTGTGCTGCCCTAGCCTTGAATAATTGAAATGTGGAAGCAATTCAAGCATAAACAATTTTAAAACCATTAAAAGTTCAAGCATGGGCACTGTCTTTTGAACAAAGGCCACATGCAGCCACCATTGTGCCTTCAGTGGTGTTATTGCTAGTGTCCATTTCAGGCAGTTCATTTTCTTCCCTGGCCTAATTGTTCCCTGTGTCCACGATGGCCAGGCCTTACCAAGTTTAGGTGGCAAAATACAGAAGGCAGATACGTGCCCAGAATGCCTCCTGGATAGAAGAAAGGGAAGGTAAGTTCCTTGATTTCATTCACTAAACAGCACCCACACACCTCTGGGCTAGAGCCTACATACCTGGTATTTGAACCAAGAAGTTCTTCTGGCAACCAATCTCCTTGACCAATGGAAACGTTTACGTGCAGGAAGTCTTAATCCACTAATGAAGATCTCCTTTTGGATATTTCAGATCAGAGTGAAGGCAATACAGCCTCAGTGCTCCCTGGGACCTCTGTTAGCAAGAGAACTGGAAGCTCAGTGATGAAGACCTTAGAGGTCAAAACCCCAGGAAGATCTCCCACATTATCTATGGGAAAGCAGCCCAGAAGCTGCGAGAGGAAAGCCACTAATGTACACAAACCCAGTGCAAAACTCA